CACGATCTATGTATTGACTGTCACTGAGTGTCACTGACCTCGCTGTCCTCGAGTCTAGCGTCGACACGTGATCTATGTATTGACTGTCACTGAGTGTCACTGACCACACTGTCCTCGAGTCTAGTGTCGACACGTGATCTATGTATTGACTGTCACTGAGTGTCACTGACCACACTCTCCTCGAGTCTAGTGTCGGCACATGATCTATGTATTTACTGTCACTGAGTGTCACTGACCACACTGTCCTCGAGTCTAGCGTCGACACGTGATCTATGTATTGACTGTCACTGTGTGTCACTGACCACACTCTTCTCGAGTCTAGTGTCGACACGTGATTTATGTATTGACTGTCACTGTGTGTCACTGACCGCACTCTCCTCGAGTCTAGTGTCGGCACATGATCTATGTATTTACTGTCACTGAGTGTCACTGACCACACTGTCCTCGAGTCTAGCGTCGACACGTGATCTATGTATTGACTGTCACTGTGTGTCACTGACCACACTCTCCTCGAGTCTAGTGTCGGCACATGATCTATGTATTTACTGTCACTGAGTGTCACTGACCACACTGTCCTCGAGTCTAGCGTCGACACGTGATCTATGTATTGACTGTCACTGAGTGTCACTGACCACACTCTCTTCGAGTCTAGTGTCGGCTCAGGATCTGTGTACTGACTGTCACTGACCACACTGTCCTCGAGTCTAGCGTCGACACGTGATCTATGTATTGACTGTCACTGTGTGTCACTGACCGCACTCTCCTCGAGTCTATTGTCGGCACATGATCTATGTATTTACTGTCACTGAGTGTCACTGACCACACTGTCCTCGAGTCTAGCGTCGACACGTGATCTATGTATTGACTGTCACTGTGTGTCACTGACCGCACTCTCCTCGAGTCTAGTGTCGGCACATGATCTATGTATTTACTGTCACTGAGTGTCACTGACCACACTGTCCTCGAGTCTAGCGTCGACACGTGATCTATGTATTGACTGTCACTGAGTGTCACTGACCACACTGTCCTCGAGTCTAGTGTCGGCTCAGGATCTGTGTACTGACTGTCACTGACCACACTGTCCTCGAGTCTAGTGTCGTCACATGATCTATGTATTGACTGTCACTGAGTGTCACTGACCACACTGTCCTCATGTCTAGTGTCGGCTCATGATCTGTGTATTGACCGTCACTGAGTGTCACTCACCATACTGTCCTCGTGTCTAGTGTCGGCTCATGATCTATGTATTAACTGTCACTGAGTGTCACTGACCATACTGTCCTCGTGTCTAGTGTCGGCTCATGATCTATGTATTGACCATCACTGAATGTCACTGACCATACTGTCCTCGTGTCTGGTGTCGGCTCATGATCTATGTATTGACTGTCACTGAGTGTCACTGACCATACTGTCCTCGTGTCTAGTGTCGGCTCATGATCTATGTATTGACCGTCCCTGAATGTCACTGACCATACTGTCCTCGTGTCTAATGTCGGCTCATGATCTATGTATTGGCCATCACTGAATGTCACTGACCATACTGTCCTCGTGTCTAGTGTCGGCTCATGATCTATGTATTGACCGTCCCTGAATGTCACTGACCATACTGTCCTCGTGTCTAATGTCGGCTCATGATCTATGTATTGACTGTCACTGAATGTCACTGACCATACTGTCCTCGTGTCTGGTGTCGGCTCATGATCTATGTTTTGACCATCACTGAATGTCACTGACCATACTGTCCTCGTGTCTGGTGTCGGCTCATGATCTATGTATTGACTGTCACTGAATGTCACTGACCATACTGTCCTCGTGTCTAATGTCGGCTCATGATCTATGTATTGACTGTCACTGAATGTCACTGACCATACTGTCCTCGTGTCTAATGTCGGCTCATGATCTATGTATTGACCATCACTGAATGTCACTGACCATACTGTCCTCGTGTCTAGTGTCGGCTCATGATCTATGTATTGACCGTCCCTGAGTGTCACTCACCATACTGTCCTCGTGTCTAGTGTCGGCTCATGATCTATGTATTGACCGTCCCTGAATGTCACTGACCATACTGTCCTCGTGTCTAATGTCGGCTCATGATCTATGTATTGGCCGTCCCTGAATGTCACTGACCATACTGTCCTCGTGTCTGGTGTCGGCTCATGATCTATGTATTGACCGTCCCTGAATGTCACTGACCATACTGTCCTCGTGTCTAATGTCGGCTCATGATCTATGTATTGACCGTCCCTGAATGTCACTGACCATACTGTCCTCGTGTCTAATGTCGGCTCATGATCTATGTATTGACCATCACTGAATGTCACTGACCATACTGTCCTCGTGTCTGGTGTCGGCTCATGATCTATGTATTGACCGTCCCTGAGTGTCACTCACCATACTGTCCTCGTGTCTAGTGTCGGCTCATGATCTATGTATTGACCGTCCCTGAATGTCACTGACCATACTGTCCTCGTGTCTAATGTCGGCTCATGATCTATGTATTGGCCGTCCCTGAATGTCACTGACCATACTGTCCTCGTGTCTGGTGTCGGCTCATGATCTATGTATTGACCGTCCCTGAATGTCACTGACCATACTGTCCTCGTGTCTAATGTCGGCTCATGATCTATGTATTGGCCGTCCCTGAGTGTCACTCACCATACTGTCCTCGTGTCTAGTGTCGGCTCATGATCCATGTATTGACCGTCCCTGAGTGTCACTGACCATACTGTCCTCGTGTCTAGTGTCGACACGTGATCTATGTTTCGACTGTCACTTAGTGTCACTGACCACACTGTCCTCGTGTCTAGTGTCGGCTCATGATCTATGTACAGACTGTCACTTAGTGTCACTGACCACACTGTCCTCGTGTCTAGTGTCGGCTCATGATCTATGTACAGACTGTCACTGAGTGTCACTGACCACACTGTCCTCGAGCCGGGAATAAGCACATGAACTTTGTATTGACTGTCAATGAGTGTCACTAAGCACACTGTCGGCACATGAACTAATGTATTTACAACGAGGCTAAATACATTGCACAGCATTCCCTACTTGTGACATTTGACGCATGGTAGTCGTTTGAAATAAATTGTTCAAGATTATCACCAACTCTATTTAATCTTCCTTGCTAGCCGCATTCAAGCAATGACCGTAACGAAATTGTCATGAATGTGAACCATGGGTGAGGCAGCATTTGGAACAGTAGGGGAGGTGTAGTGTGCGTGAAGAAGTAGTCTCCCTTGCACCGTCCTAACTAAGCACTTTTGCACCCATAACACTGTGACAGTGACTGGCGTTACCTGAATCTCGCATGTGAGCTGTTAATGTACTGTGAGCGGCCTGTGTTGTGTACCCGAACCTGACGGAGTAGTCTCCCTTCCACCACTCTTGGCGAGCAGTGTCTGAGAGAAACTGTTCCAGGCTTGCCTTACAATATGTGATGAAGAAATGGATAATATAGATTTGACAGTACTTCAGTTATATCAGGGCATATCAGCGTAATGTGAGAGGAAGTCCAACGTCTAGTTAAGAAATTAACTGCAGTGGTTTATTGTGCGATAAACAACGACCACGAGATTTGCTCCTGTAACAAGAACGGACTGACATAAGGATTGGGGGACCACAATGATAGTATGGCCGTATCATGTTTAACGTGAACAGGATGTGACTCGCAGGGTGTACTACGACCTCGGCCTTCGGTTCTACAACCTTTACATCGACAATTGTTGATTGTTGTGCTCTGTTTGTTTGTTGTTTAACGCCGCACTCAGATATATTCCAGCTCTTGGACGTCGGCTTGTACATAATCGAGTGGGACCGGACGTCCCAGTGCTTGACATCATGAGCATCAATCTACGGTAGTAGGATACCATGACATGCATCAACCAAGTCAGTGATCCCGTTAGTCAACTTGACATAGAAAAGAATGTTTTATAAACAATAAAAGCACAAGTCGTTTATTAGTTACTGACTAAAACCCCGAGGGAGGTTAACATATAATGTACAAAAGCAAATATATACAAGATGGCAGCTGTACCATGATCTCTTCAGGATAACACAACAGCTTTAAAGCCATTTGCTTGGTGATATTCACATGATGCCATTGCATATGCGTGACGAGAGAATAGCGGCAACAAACAAGGCAATCGCATAAGAATAAATACAAAATAGATTGTTCCACACAGGTTCTAAGACAATCCTCCGTGGTTAGTGATATAAGTCCCTCGGCGATATGTTACTCCTCCACTCTCAACGCGGGTCTTACAACCCCAAGCATAAAGTAACTTCGCTGTCCTGTATGTCAAAGCAGGGACTTACGTGCAGCCCGTCAGCGTGTGGTTCGTCGAGCTGTATTTTGGCGCTTTGACCTGTTATCTGATCACCACAATACTGAATACTGAGAAACCAAAAGTGGTTAGGTGAAACTGGGTATACCGTCGCGTTTAATAATATTTCATTTATATAACGACGTACATGCACGTGTGCTTATGCGTATGTGTGGGTGTACGTGTGTGTGTGCGTGCCTGCGTGCGTGCGTGTGTGTGTGCAGCTGCTTGTACTAGTCCGGACTTATGCCGTTTTTACAGTATCAACCCACTGAGATACCATGCCGCAGTTTAACATGGATATGCAAAACAGACATAGTATACGGATTCCGAGCCGACCAGTCCTTGCTTCATCCCTTAAAGCCGATCGATCGCCAGACAGGGAGACAGCAAGTACAATCTTTGGGTATGATGAGGCCGGGATCGAAACCACGACCTTCCGCTCTTCTGGAAGACGATCTAACCACTAGACCACGGAGGTGGTCTTGGAGGAACAAAACTTGTTAATAATCTGAGTTCCTCTATGAAGTATTTATACAGCAAGGCTCATCAGAAGAAATTGTTCGAATTTCCGCATGGGTAGACCGCGTGAAGCTTATTTCATATAAAGAAATGTATTAAAGTAGTGAAGTTGAAAAAAGACTCATAACACTGCTGTCATGTCTTGTTTTATTCAAAGTTCTAAGTAATGAGAAGCAAGTTATAAATAAGTAACAACTGTGTAGTAAGTAGCATGAAAGAATCTACAACTACAAGGCAAATATGTCCTTTCTCATAACTTTTAAAAAACACAATACATTTGAAGCAAACTGTGTAACCACACAAATCTGTAACAAATATAACAATCGTGTTAACAAAAGATAAATATTAGATATAATCAATATGTAATACGATCACTGTTGGTGTGGTCAAAGCTGAAATCAAAGACAATTCCAAATTTCAAACATCTGAAATCAAACATTACACAACACACAGTTGACAAACATGTAAAGATGTAAACCCGACTCAGCGTTCATGTATTGCAGTAAACGATGCCCACACAAGTCCTAATAACATACTGTAACAAAGGACTGTTTAGCAAGACAAGTACCTCAGGCGATATTATTATAATTTTGACACAAACCCAAATAACTAAGGCATAAATACGAACTAACTAAAGAAACAACAACGCTGAAGAGTCACGCTGTGCGAATGTCACAGACACGTGCACATGTAAGCTATATTATTACTAACACGAAATAGAAGTAGAAGGATATGAAAAATAAGATCAGACATGTATTAAGCCTGTATGTTGTCAGTGCTTGGTATGAGAAAATTGCATGCGAGATCGACACTGAGAAACAGTTGTTTCCAACGAGTGTCAGCACCAGACAGTAAACATAAAATTCCAAAAATGTGCTTATTTACAGATGGACACCTTATACAATCGTACCTCAAGTTGGAGTATTAGTGAAACATGTACAAGCAAGATGTCAAACCTCCGATGACGCTTCAAATTGTTGTGTAATCTCACGCAATTGGGATCGATTACCTGCATCAACCAAGTCAGCGAGCCTGAGAACCCGATTCCGTTAGTCGGCTTTTACGACAAGCATAGCGCCTTTTATTGCAAGCATGGTTTCCTGAAGACCTATTCTACCCCGGAGCTTTTTCACAAGAGTTTAAGAAAGTTTAAACGTTGGCACAGGGAAATATTTCGATGTGTGTACATATTATTACATGAATTTGAACTAATTAGATTTATTTTGAGAAAAACGGTGTCTACAAATTAGGTTGACGGACTATACAGGGTAATGTAATGAACCTTAGTAATTGACTGTTCATTTCAGACAAAGGTTGTCCCAAATCGGTCGCTATGACACATGTCTCAGACTGTTAGCACTTTGGTGAAATCCTCGAGCACGTGAATGTGCTGACCAGCCTAGGAATAGAACTGGAGCGAACGGGGATTCGGACACACGATCATATGTTTCTTGCGTACCCAAAATCAAAAAGATTCTTCAATGTCATAATGAGGAGCTAATCTTTTCGCTGTGTTGTCTTTACTGTTTTGAATTACACATCAAGTTTCATCCATATTTATTCATACCAACGTCACTAATAATATGTTCTGGACATTCGTGGGCGTGTTATGTAATTCGTCATACTTCACCGTCTTTTGACGCGAGGATGTCACGCAATTTCATGTGGTGCTTGCGTTTTGCAACCATGGAAGCTTGTTCGCTCACAAGTAAGTCAAACACTGCTCCTCGTTCCCACTGTACTGCCAACACTAGCGGTGTCCTCCCTTCCTGTCCTTGGCTGTCGATGTCCACTAGGCCCTTTGGCAGGATGTGCTTCACCATTTTTACGTATCCTCCAATGCAAGCCACGTGTAGGAGGTTGTTCCCCTTGTTACAAACAAGTGTTGCATTAGCTCCTTTCGTCATAAGTAGGTCAAATACCTCCCTGCGTCCATGAAATGCTGCGAACATCAGTGGTGTTCCCCCATACTGCCCTCGGCAGTTGATGTCAATATATTTCTGTGAGAGGACATGCTCCACCATCTTCACATGTCCTCCACGGCATGCCATATGGAGTATATTGTTTCCTTCCTTATCTGTGCGTGATATGTCACTGTCTTTCTCAACAAGTAATTCAAACACATCTTTATGTCCGTACGTAGCTGCTATCATTAATGCTGTTCTTCCAAGTATGTCTCTAGTGTTGATATTTAGCTTTGCCTCATCGATGATATGTTTCACAATGTCAATGTGTCCTCCATGGCAGGCATAATGAAGGATATTGTCTCCATCATTATTGTCTATTAACAAAGCATTTTCATCCAGCAGATACTCAAACACGGTTTTCTTCCCATGACATGCAGCGCACATCAATGCGGTTCTTCCGTCGATTCTCTTTTTGTTTATAAGGGTAGGTTTAAGTAAGACTACATACTTTACTATGTCCATATTTCCCCCCACACAGGCCATGCTGAGAATGTGATCCCCGCCACGATCCTTTAGTGTCATATCACCTCCTTCTTGTTTGAGATATTCAAAGACATCGTAGTGCCCATTCAATGCTGCCAACATCAATGGTGTCAATCCATACGACCCTCGAGAGTTGGCATTTAATAAATCCTCATGCATGATCTCTTTCGCGCGGTCCAGATTCCCTTCAGCGCTGGCCTTATGGAGTGGTGAGTCAGGAATTGGCCATTTGAGTAACCCTGTGTTGAAATAAGGATAGGATAAGATATAATATTGTCCATGCGTACAGAGTGTTGTTAATAATGTCTTTCAAGCAGCTCATGTGATATGAAACTATGTTACAAAGAAAGAGTCAACAAGGAATTCGCGATTTCATAGTGACTATGCAGGTTTTTGTAATGCTTCTTGGAGCATTATTTTAGTTACATCGTGGCGTTTGAACTCAATGTGGGAGCAAGCCCATGCAGATCCTAGTTGTTTACCAAAGCAATGTGATCAGGCAAATATGTGATGCGACCTGTCACTGTCACGAAGAATGGACGCCTTTGGATAGTCATTTGTGTCTGTCGTGTTAAACGACTGGGACACCCATGTCCCCGTATGGTCATATGACGTCATTGAAATGTTTTACCCTTTACAAACAACACCTATCCCAAACTCCCTTTGAGGCTTAATATAATATCCATCATAAAGCAGTGTTTGTTTTGTGTTTCTCCCCTGTGATATCACGGGACACGTGCCATGTTCCTCCTCTGATTTTTAGATATGAAATCATCATTACTTCATATACCTTCGACTTCTGCATCATAACTCAACAGATGGCGATGGGCAGACGAATGCATTGAGGTTTATCATCTATTGTTCCATTCATTTATGCATTGCGTTAACATTAGATTAAAAAATATATGACTCTTATGTGTACAGAATATAGGCATATCCTTATCGACTTGACCAAGTATATCAACTCTTCAGTCAAATTGTTTAAAGAAAGGTAATGATATACATTTGAATACATGTATGTACTCACACATTATATATACATGTGGCTTTGTCTTTATCGCGAGTAATTTAGAGCGGATTCTCCTTTGGCAAGAATGTCAAGGCCATCCATTGAAATGGGGTAAGTAGGGAGTGTTAGGGGTCTGTGCAAAGGAGGTCCAGGGTGGTAAACCTCCTCTTGGCTAAGCAAAAAGCTTATTTAGTGACAAACGCAAAGGACTGAATGAATCGCACTGAAATATACCTCTTCTAATAAAAATGGGTTCCGAAGTCACTATCGTCCCGTGGAAATACATGTTAAGTTGATTTGAGCATAAATGCATCAACGACTTCAGTAAACAAGTAGCCTCTAGGGGATAACACTACTTTTCAGTGACTTCCAAACCCATCTACGCATTCTCACTGAGCATATCTATGCCTGTATGTGTTAACTTAACATTTAGCTATGTATAACGGCAGAGGCACAAGCAGTGTCAGTCCCAACCCCCGAAGATGTATATACCAGACCCCTGCAACTGTGGCCACCAGTACATTGGAGAAACCCTCAGACCCCTCAACACCAGACTCAAAGAACATCAGATCTCTGTCAATAAACTAGACCTGAAATCCGCTATTTCCGAACAAATCCTCGAGAACCAGGACCATAACATCATGTTGGAAGCCACCAAAGGCCTGTGTACCACTAACAACAACTGGCGACAGAGAAAAATGAAAAAAACACACAGACATCATGAGACATCAGCCAGCCATGAACCGTGACCAGGGAACATATGTGTCTAGTGCTTGGGACTTATTTCTTGGATCTTTGTCAGTGCCTATTATCTAGCTGGCTTCCATTGCTTATTCTATTTCCTTTACCTATCGGTGCTAATTACCCCCGGCCCCCCGCTTCCCCATTGTCCATTGCTCTGTACCTATCAGTGTTACTTAGTCCTGGCTTCCAGCTGTCCATAACTATCAGCGCTAATTACTTTTAAGTGGTGGCCTTCAGTGTGTAGTTCTAATTGCCTTTCTGCGCAAATTATCATTTGACCTCCCTTGTTAAGTTTCCACCTTTGTTGTCTTTTTACTTTTGATGTTCTTACATGTACACACACACACACACACACACACACACACACACACATATATATATATATATATATATATATATATATATATATATATATATATATTATCTCCCTTAGGTTATGACATAATTGGTGATAATTTAACTGGGCCCCTGTCTTGTCACAACGCAGAAGATATCGTTACGAGTTGATCCACTGTACAGTCTCCATACATCATAGGGTGAGACCACACAACAAATTGAAAACAATTTAATACTTGCAGTCTAATCAAACTTCATCTTATACACAAACAGCAACAGCAAGTATCAATCACAATAAAAACAGGCGTTCTTTATGCTTTATTGTTCCTTCATTTCCCAACAAGATTCAGTGAATGATCCGTTATTCTCAAAACTTTACACATTGCCGACATGACATATACAATTAAAGTTTCAAATCTCGCCGACATGGCACGTCAGTTTACACCTAATCCCGAACTTGGAACTGACCACTTTGTCTTCATCTGACTTTAAGAGAAATAGCCAAACTGCAATTGCGTAACATCAGGCTTTACTTGGTTGTGAGTACACCAGGGCTTACATATAGACAACGTGAAGGTGTGTAATTGGTCAGTGTTAATCACTGGAAAAAGTCTACACAAGCAACATAATATACTCAACAACAAAAGATCCTGTGACGCCAATATGTTAGTGCATTTTTCAAACAAGTAAAGTTAGGTTTTCAAATTGTATTACATGTATGGAATCAAGTCACAAAAACGCAACTGCTACAAAAAGCATGCATTCCATGCATGGATTACAGCAAGGCAGAGGACCCGTTTGATAGTGGTAGAGGGAAATCTCAACGGACAGCGCTACCGCGACGAGACCATCGGCCCTGTTGTTCCAGCGTGTTTGTGTCGTCATGGCCCAGGGATTACCTTTCAACATGACAACGCCCGGCCTCATATTGCTCGACTTGTTCAGGATTCTCTTCAACAAAACAACGTGAATGTCATCCCCTGGCCGGCTCGCTCCCCTGATCTCTCACCAATCGAGCACATGTGGGATGAGATGGTTCGGCGCCTTCGACGTCAACCACGAATTCCACAGACACTCCAGAAACTTCGAAACAAGCTCAAGCAGATATGGACAGATATCCCACAGGACGCCTGGTCAATTCCATGAGACGAAGATGTGTTGCTTGCATCGCAACCAGAGGTGGACACACACGCTATTGATTTGTAAATTGATATTTTGGCATGTTCATGGTTGTTTTTATGAAATCACGCATTTTCTGAAGTCAGTATGGCAAGTTAAACCATTTAAACACTTACATGAGTCTTTTATCTGCTGCCAACCGAAATTGTTTCAGATTTGGTAAAAAACATAACTTTGCATTATTCGTATTCAATGTCACAGGAACTTTTGTTCTTCAGTATATGTAACAAAGGGATGGATATACATTTTATAAAAGCTAACAAAAGTATATTTGATATATTATTCATGAAAAGTAAATATACATATATAATGGATTCTCATAACAATATCAAGTACCAGTTTATGATCACACAAGTCAGAAGTTCCCTTGACCCATCAAGAAATCGCAAAATCATACACTTATGAACGAACACAAGCAAGTTTCGCAGCATAGAAACGATGAAAATCAAGTGTAAACCTAGAGAAAACACACATCACCTGATGTGTCACCCGACCCAGACTCGACATCTCCACAACCACAAATAACACTTTGATGTGTGTATACCTAAATTACCTTCATGCTCATTATTACATTTTCAGAAGCGGATACGTAATATCTAAGAGAATTTACCACGCCTTGTGAGTAACACAACGATGGGGTACGTCCCTGTAGTTTCTCAAATCGGTTGCCGAGTGGAAACGTACTGGGGGGAAAATATTCTCTTTGATTTTCTTCCCATCCGAATACAACATAACTGCCATATTTTATTGATAAGTAACTGGATTTTGTATTTCACAAGCACCAGCACCCGCCGAAAAAACCCGTCTCCATTTGAAAAAGAAACGATAGATCACTCCATTGATGTGTTCCATGTTTGAAACCAATTATTGCTTTAGGCCTATATATATTCAATAGATAATTGGTTGTAGGTTTGTTTGGACAACCATTCATAGAAAATAGCATTGCAAACTTGCAAGGAAACGTTTTATCCTCCATTATGAGGCCATAATTAATAAAAATCAAATGTGAAAAATATGAGCCGATTTAAGGAATAAAATAAATTAGATACTTGTGATATGTGTATTGTTTTGCCTCTAAAACTAATAGGTTAATGCTATTTTGTCGATATTTGAAGGCTCTTGGTTACATACGTTTCCCAACTCATACCAAGATTAAGGCTGAGAAAAACGGATCTTTAAATATATACAACATAATCTGAAAATATGTCAACATCAATATAATCTTATGCTCTGAACAAATTGACAAAAAATGTTTGGGATTAATCAAATCTTAAAAATAGGTAACAAGAAAGTGAACTGAAATACATGTATACACATGATGCATCGAGGCGAGGTCAACCTTCAAGTGCGGATTTATGTATGACGTCACCTGTGTTTGTAAAGGGGTGCATTTTGAGTCGAACGGGAGCATGAGGATGAAATGTTTACTTTACTGTTGTTGAAAGTAAAGCTTATCGACAGTTATGGAAAACGACCGACATATGAACCCTCCCATGGTTCTAGCAAACTGGGAATATGACTGATTTATGAATATGTTGCTTGTGTTTGGATAATCGCAAACCAATTCGACAATGTTGAATGGTCCGGTGGGGATTGAAGGTAGTGTTCGGAATCTTGTGTGTTTCGTGTTAACTTTTAACGTCAGGGTGTGTTATATTTGGAGTTTGGGATGTGTCGCGTGTGCTGTAATACTTTGCTGAGCTGGTGTTTCTTGTCACCTGAGATGGACCTATTGTATGGCCTAATGTCAGCTTCATTTCTGTGCCCCGTCCTTCCTGATGTTCCGCCGCTGCTTGGTCTAGAATGCTCAGAGAAGGTCGGCCAACTCAGAAACCGGAATGGTAATTCGTCTACGGATATTTTCTCGTCTCCGATGACCAGTCGGTTAAGTATATTATATATAAACATGTAGGCAAGTTGTTGTTTTTGGTGTGTGTTTTTTAAATTTTAAGTTTCTTTCCTTACCTTGTTATGTCTTATTTTTTTTAAAAGCTAGATTAATTTTATTTGGCTTACCATTGAACATTTTCAGAGGCTATTAAGACAATGTTTTTTCATGTAGATTTGCTGTGTCTTGGTTTCTCAAAATCTTGTAGGTATTTTTTCTGATACGATTGTGAATCGAGTTTTAGTTTGGAATTGATCAGGAGCAGTCGCTTTGATCAGTGTCTGCGACCACATCTGAGCAGGGTAGAACATAGTGTTCATTTGCAATTGTCTTGGTGCTAGATTCCTCTTATTTCCGAAAACAAGGCATCAAAGTTGGTATCGCTCAAAACAATTTTTCGTTCACCTCAGTAATTGTGCAGTATTTATTACGTTATTTGTAGTGAAAGATAGCCATTCCATATCCAATTCATGTTACCATAAGGAAAATCCATTTTGTTTCATGTAGCAGCTAGACGACATCAAACACAGATGACATCAAAAGTCAGATGAAATGTTACAAGACCAGGCAAAAATACTAAATTAATTATCTTGCTGATAAGTGCAGGGATTAAAAAGAAAATAGAAAAACGAGTTGATTGTAAACACCGATCGATAATTCGGAGAAAACCATGAAAGTAGTTCAAGCAAAAGTTCACACGACCAATTTCACAAAAAAAATGTTCCAATCGTGTGAACTTGTCTGTCCATTCACAGGTGTGGCAACTCCAAATTACAGATAACGTGACTACCATTCAGCCAATCAGCATGAAACAGTGTAAACTTTAAAGTATTAAAGTATTTTCGCGTGAACGTGCCCTTTAAGAGCCAGGCCACATTCAGCAAATCAAATTATATCATTCTTTCGATACAAAAGAGCACATTTGAAAACGTTTTGTTACATTGTCGCGCTTGTAGTATTTTTTTATTTTCAATATTTTGATAAAGCGCTACAACGCGACAATGCGACATTTAGTCAAAATTATCACGTCACATTGTCGGGCTATCATTAGTTAAATTAACTGCGTATTTTTATAATATTTATACAAAACATGATTTTTCATCAATGAGGACTGCGCCCAGGGATCGAAGTCAATCACAACAATAACGAAAGCATATGTCCGTACAGAGGGATCTTAGCTGAAGTTTGATGTATTACGAATCGGATTCAAATAAAGCAAAGACATTATTGTAAAATACGCTCTTAATTTACAGGAGGCTCTGTAATCGCCACTTCGTCAAAAAAGGTTGGTTGGTTTGTTGTTTAACGCCGCACTCAGCAATATTCCAGCTATATGTCGGCGGTCTGTAAATAATCGAGTCTGGATCCAATGATTATAATAATATCATGAGCATAGATCCACGCAATTGGGATCGATGACATGCATCAACCAAGTCAGCGAGCCTGACCACCCGATCCAGTTAGTCGCCTCTTACGACAAGGTCAAAAAGGGATATCCTTTGTGAGTGAGTGGATATTTTTTTATCGCCGCATTGAACAGTATCTTCGTAATGTCACGGCGTATAGGCTTGATGTGGGAGTAAAGCCGGAAGTGATGTAGATCCAAAAGAAAAACATGAACAGGATGAACCGGCAATTCGATCATAAGTCTCTGGCACGGCCAGACGCCACTATGCACAGCGAATTCATCGGTTGAGAGAGTAGGTGAGTTTGATGTACCGCCGATTTGAACAATATTTCAGTTATTTCACAGAGTATCAGCATCCCTAAGTGATGTGTGTGCTGGGATTTGGACCAAAGGTCATAGTTTTATATATTATTATGCGTCTAGAAGACACAACTCTGAACAGCGACTTTGGGCCGTCTAAAATGATAAGGCCAACCGTGTGCCCTCATCAATCTGATGAGATCTGATGAGATCAGTAAATAGAGATGCAAAGAATTTATAAAAAAACGCTACAGACAATTACGACAGATGAAATAGTTTCTAAAGCAACGATGGAATGATGAGAAAAACAACCCACATTGCCATTGGTACTTTTGTTTTAGAAACCATTGGCGTATAACAATTAACTCACTTGCAGTAAACTACATGTGTACACCATTAATAAACAAGCATGACAATGCAACAATGCGACATTATGAGAATAAAAACAAGTTTTTTCATGCTTATTGAGTTTGTTTACTGTGCTAAAAAGGTAGGGGATATTATGCTTTGTGGTGAAACTACTGGAAAACACTGGAGACAATATGATTTGGTTGATTAGTTTTGTTTGTTGGTTTGTTGTTTAACGCCGCACTCAGCAATATTACAGCTATATGACGGCGGCCTGTATATAATCGAGTCTGGACCAGACAGTCCAGTGCTTAATAGCATGAGCATCGATCCACGCAATTGGGATCGATGACATACATCAACCAAGTCAGCGAGCAGACCATCCGATCCCGTTAGTCGCCTCTTACGACAAGCATAGTCGCCTTTTACGGCAAGCATTGGTTGACAATATGAAAGGGATTAATGTCGCAAAAACATTCCCGACACTATATTAAACACATTTAATCAAGAAGGAAGCAACAGGATTGATCATGCTACCTTTGCAACGTGCTGAACGTTTACGTGTCACATGCATGTTGCAGGTGGGCTCACGTTATAATATTGTTGCATGTTTCTCCATCTAACATCAACACATTACACCAAATACATAACGTCAATGATCGACGCCGCTCTTGACTATCAATTGCAACTTCAGTCAGGGACAGATTACTTGTATAAACGATGCCAATAAGAAATCGGTTGCAAACTGCCACTCACATAAGGGACCGGTTGCAATAGGCAACTGGTGTAATAGCGCATACCCTGACGGTGCGAAATCGACTGCACAGGTGGCATATACAAATACGTCCACGTGTCAGTGTCATCCCACAAGTTACTGCACGTCATTTGAATGAGAGACGTCAGTGGTGTAGGGAACGCCAGCACTGGGATAATCGACTTTATGCTTATGTCATGTTTTCTGAGGAATCGAGGTTCACTTTTGACATCAACAACAGAAGGAATCGAGTTTTGAGACGTCCTAATGAGCGTTTTATGGGCTCAATTTTGTCCATGGCGGAGTCACAGATCAATACTAACGGGACAACATCATAGCATCACCAGTTAATGGCATTTGCACAACGTAATGGCCAACATCTCATCTTTGAAGATGTTATAAATGAACCGTTATGCATGTGCTCATCGCATCAGGATTATGACTCATTCATCCAGCAGCAAAACAGCCATGTCCTGCCATGGCCCAAACTCTGTCCTGACCTTTACCCCGTTAAACCCATTGGCAGACGTGTACGTCAACGTCAAAATCAATTCCCCTCTTCTAACGAAGTCGCAGTTGCTTTTACAGATGAGTCGAACAACACAAACAACCCGAGCCAAGCTGACATCAGAAGCATGCCTCGAAGAATTCGTGCATGTTTTATTCGTTATTAGCGACGCTGTCTGCAAAATGCAAAATTCGAATTTGACACCCGACCTATTTAACGAAGTGTTCTGCAACCATCTCATTACATAAACTTTTCGAAACCAACTCGATCTAATCCTCCTCAGAAATGATCACATGATATCCATTTTCCAGTACCATGTTGATGAGAATATATATCTTGATGATTCCCAATATCCTGTACTTTTTGCTATAGTTTTTGTTATATTATATTATTACATTGAACTCAAATTGATCACGTAGTTGGTTGTAGATCTATGAATGAATGGAACGTAATGTATCACTACTCTCACAATAAATAGTGTTAATGAGCTAATCACATTAATGGAAGGTGACTATGTAACCTCACTCCAGTTTGAGCAATAACGTAGAAAATTCAATTCAAAGTGTTACACTTACTATTTTTCCTTTGACTGAAAAGGAAAGAAATCATCAAATTAAACTAATTACATGAACAAACACTTATTATATTTCAGATGCAAGAAGATGCAAGCATGTTGCAATTGTATCTCTATGTACTGTTACTACCGCATAGTTACCAGTTACATTGATTAATTACAAGTGCAAGCAATCACATACAAACAAAAACTAAACATGTTGCTGGGATAATTAGTTCTTGTTTATTGGATATGCTTTGGGATATGTTTAGCTTGTAACAGTTTCAGGTGCGATCGACATACATAAGCCCACTGAAAGCATTTATATACATTGAGAGATGCCAATGCTTACCCTCCGATACCGATTTGAACCATGAAGACCAGCAACACAAAAATGAAGACAATAACAGGGACGAATATCTTCCATAGAGGTGTTGTGTTGTCATTCCCCTTGGTTTCATGTTCTTCCCCTGAAACTATACACATATAATCAGGTTATAATTCTGTAAGACCTCACTGCTTTTGGTGGTTATTACAAGATCGATAATAGCATTTGTGTCATTATAAAGAGATGTTTCGTTCATCTCTTCTCAACTGCATTTCCTTGTGCCCCTGGTTAATTCAAGAGTAACCATGGATACTGATGCAATCATACTGTATAAAGACTTAAGTCCGATGTGTTTTAAATAGCATCTGCAAAATGTATTGTATATGGGGAGAATATACTTGGATCGTTACACAACAAGCTGACAATTTTTCATGGTAAAAACATAGACGGAACCAAGACGCAAAAATGGCCACAAGACAGGCCGAGTCGGCATTTGGCTTTTCCCGGAATAACACGAGTTGGTCTTGCAAGACAAAATTCATCAACATACATCTGTTGATAATATACTATAGAAATGTACGGCTTCTGCTGATTTGAACTCATTTTGTATCCTGGCCCTGTGCAAAACAAAAAATATCCAGTTTTAACATAAGGGCCACATATGCCACTGTTCACTTACTCAATTTTGATTCAGTGTTGAAGTGTCATTACAAAACATTTTGTTTTTAAAATAAGGGGATTCGTCATGTGTCAACTTAGTACTTTTACCTGCGCGTTGCCATGTATTTAACCTATGGCCAGCGGAATTAACTACACTCCTAACGATCAGGGAGATAATCCGTAAAATATCTGACAAGTTCTTGCAAATAATGGCTGGAACATTACGGCAGGTTCCTGGTGACTCTTCTTCAATACCCTGAGAAACAAATTCATATTATGCCATGACATACTTTTGTCACTTGAATTCAAAATGGCGGCTTTGGAGAACACGAACACATATGTTGTGTGATCAGTTTAATTACATTTTCTAATTCATACTTTCACAAAAGTTCCCCTTTTCGCCATCTTTACAGCCTCTTGTACACACTCCATCTTGGTGATTGCAGGTGTAGTTGATACAGTTCTTGCTGCATTCTTTATTGCATGTATCATCATACCAGCCTGGAATGCATCCTTCAGAACATCTTCCACTGGTCCTGTCACAGTGAATAATGCCAAGATCAGGTGATATCCTACAGTGATCAGAGCAGTTTTTGTCACATCCATCTCCATATTTGCCCCATGGACAGTTTTGGTCAGCTCTGACATTCCATACTGCAACATACACAATGTAATATAAGAAAATATATAAGCAAGGCTATTTTCTTACTGACTATATTTTCAAAAATATAGTTCAAATAACCATCCAAACAATGACTGTCTATATTCTACTAAAAAAATCATGAGTAATTGTAGTTTAGTTTCAAGCAAAGAACCTGTAAACTTTCCTTTCATGCACATATTAAGTTGAGTTAAGTACTCAAATTATAACAAATGTATTTTTGAATAGATATACTCACCCAGCATGATTAGTAGTACGTGACACATCAACATGTCTGAATATGTAGACTGTTCTTTCGTCATGCGTCTGCAATTATACATTAAACATCCTAGAGATGACTACATACATGCTATTGAGCTCTGAAGACTGAAGCCACCATACGAATGACTTGTTTGATAGGCATTACTTATAAGTTGACGGATAGCAAAGTAGACACAATTTATGGATGACAACTTCTTTAACACAGTAAAGGCGACGTTCCTGTTTAGATCCTTATACCGTTGTCAAGCAAGACTGAATGGGGGACATTGTACAGTATATATTAAGTAGGTGGAGGATTAACAGTAGAGGATTAACAGTTACAACAATTGCATACATGTAAGTAACAGAAAGATAATACTGTCTCAACATAATGGACAGAGAACACATAGGTGGAAGTCAGTGGGACACGAGGCCTTTATTGGACCAGGACCAGATTTGTAAAAGCTTCTAGGCATCTGACTATACCCTTTACTTACATTTTGCTCACCTTTTTAATCTCATTTGTGATAGTGACAGATTCCCCAATTGCTGGGGTGAGGGTACTATACGTCCTCTCTTCAAGTCAAGTCAAGTCTGCCGATGTAGTTCTCTCATAGACTCAATATTTAAAGTATTTAGGTCTACTTCGAACAGCCGTCTACACAATTGGTATAATAATAATAATATTATTAATGAACAGCAAGCTGGATTTAGGGTTCAATACTCCACTACTGATAACATTTGTTCATTACAGGTTATTTAAAAAGGATACATTGGTAAGAAAAGAGGCAGATTTTACTGCCCCTTCACTGACAATTCAAAGGCATTTGACTCTAAGACATGTTCTCCTGCACTGCACAAGTTTTGGAAATAATCACGCCAATGTATAATGATTTATCTGTTTGTGTTAGAACCCTTAAAGGTATATCTGAGTGTTTTACCTGTAACATTAGCACCCGTCAGGGATGTGTTTTAAGTGCACAAATAATTATTATCTCAATAAACAATTTCATGTACCCTTATGGACAGAGAGGGTGGTCAAGATATTACTGTTACCTCTTCTACTATTGGTTTGTGCTCCCTTATGATGATGTTGATGTCTCAGCAATGCCCGACACCTGTTCACAACTGCAGTTTCAAGTTACTGTACTTGAAAGTCTTTTTGTAAAACATACTGGCTTGAAAGTAAATTTGAATAAAACTAAGACATGGGCAACATTAATAAGAAATATTCAGTTTAAATGTGGATTTGGATTCGCTTTGAAAAAGGGGAAAAAAGCAGCCTTCAATGCACTTTTTAAGCAAAGATTACACGATAATCTCTTTCAGTCATGGCAAGCATCCTCACCCCCAAATCATAAGCGTTTTCACTATAACCAGATTATATCACTTTCAAATCTTGAAAAGTATTTAAGCATAGGTGATCTTCCACAACATTTGAGGAAATCCTATTCCAGATTTTGATGTTGCAATGTTAAGCTTGCTGTTGAGACACTGGCAGATAATGGAAATATAATTGATAATGAAAGATATTGGATGTCATGCAAGCTTAAAGTGTTTTTTTGCTGTTGAAGATGAATTGCACACTTTCTATGAATGTCACTCCTACTCTGAATTACGAATCAAGTTAATTGTAACATATTTCAGTAAATATACTGCAATTAACAATATTATTTCTATCATGCAGAGTAAGAACAGTGATGTTATCAGAAATGTCAGTCTCTTCCCATATCATGTACTTATCAAAAGAAACACTCAATTGTAAATATGATATAACTGAGAGAAGTGAGAAATATTTTCATTAACAGCATATCATAATAAAAACAAAAATATAAATAAAAGAAATGGCAATCACTTAAATCCATTTTGATATTTAATAGGGTTAATTAGAGCATTATGTATAAACAAGGGTTATGAATGGATGGCTTACTACCATGATGACATTTCAATTTAGATAAAAAAATAGACACTATATTGAGAACTTGATATCAAAGACTTGATATATTGGTATTGTCTTAATTTTAAATATCAGAAAATGTTATACACACACATTATATACATACACACATATTCATGGGTACCTCATGTTCTCATCATATGAATAATAAACGTTACTACATGGCCTGCTGTAAGATCAGTAGGCAAAACGGAATTTGAAAAAAACCATAAAAGTTTATAGATTAAAACGCAACTTTTAAACAGTAGTCGACATTATAAAAAAAAACACACTTAAAATTATATAATAGTATTCACTTCAAAATGCAAAAACAAATTTCTAATTTACAGATAAATGATACCCGCTCATTTTTGAAAATGTTACCTCAAAAGATAATATTAAATAAAATAAACATTGCACAGTGCAGATATCTAGTAATTTAAAGAGAAAAAAAGAGATAAACATATTAAATTCATTTGTGTGGGAATTTGAAAAATAAGCTTACGAATACGGAAACATAAAAAGCAGGTTAAATACTTTTTATAGAATTAAGAATGAGCTTTATTTGGTACAATCAGCTGATTATTGTCAACGTATAGTGGATGCAGACATTGCAATGTTAATACAATCATCATTATATAATTATAGAGATTGAAAAAAGGTATTGTTGATTGTTCATAACATCAAAAATTGTAGTACCCATGAATACGTGTGTAAATATATAATGTATGTGTGAGCTTTTTTCTGTCTTAAAAACATATAATTTTCTAGTATCTTGAATTAATTAAAACGTACGAGCTTTCAGTGTGGATATGTGTGTTAGAATAGTTTGGTTTCTCGTGAAACAAACATACACCTTGAATTGAATTAATCATTCCGTGACAAAATAAAGAACAGTGATATACCCGTCTATAAAAATAAAAGATTCAAGACCTAAATATATTGAATGGCTATCGATCTCGAGAAAAGGCTTAACAATCACTGACTCTGTCGCCCAAGCACAGACATGAGCGTGGAGCATGCTACCCTCGCGTTTCAGGAAAAGCACTTTGATAATAATGCAAAAAGGGGTATAAAAAGTGGCAATTATCAATTATTGTTTAACCAGCACAGTCACGTTACCATGGCACTCAGTTAGCTGCAAGGGGCACTCCATTTGCAATTTATTGACTTCCATGACGCACGTATGTCATACAGAGCCACTGAAGAGACTTTGATTGGCTTTGATGCATGGTTCGACTGCATATGGATCTGATCACGTGACAACGTATCCATGGTCTGATGAAAGCAGCTGCAGATTATTGCTGCATGTCACACATTAGAAAATGCGTGTTTGGTAACACAGAAACACTGCGTATACACCGATGAACATTGTACCAACAGTCCCTTATAGTGGAGGCTGTTAACTGGTCAAGCATTTTATCCAATATATATATATATATATATACATCTGTGCGTCTGTTATGGCCATTATCAGACGTCAGAAGGATTTGATATTCATCATACCCTCTTGTGTCATATATCTGTGTCAGCTTGGAGAAGAATGGAACAACTGAACATGTTGCTACATTATAATAGGTTGAAATGAAACCTAGGGATAACTATATTGATGAAGATTTGCACTTACCTATATATTAGGTAACGCGATACGCCATAAGCCGATGACAATGCTGAGTGTGTGTTGTTTTTTGTTTACACCGTCACTAAGGTGATAACGACTTTAACTCTTGTTGCAAATAATCACTCCAAGACAAGCGCTGGCTCCGAGGAATATGTTGCTTACTTGCAGAAAACAAACCATCAAGAAATGACCGTATGAAGCTTGATACTTGATAAAATATTAAAAAACTATTCTGCACATGCTTATTATATAATGCAGGAAATACTGAGCTTACTTCTGTATGTTCGATTCCGAGTATTTGTAAACTGTTAGGTGCGAATATTGAGTCACTTTTGCGGCACCATTGTGACACCATTCGCGCAACAAATGTGGTACAGCATGTCATTTAAATTAATCTCCACATTTCACGGCATTGTTTCGACATTTTTGCGATATCATTACGCTATTTTCCCCGGCACTGTCACAAACGTATCGACAATATTTTGCAATTCATGTGAAAGAACTTATGAACTCGGGATCGAATCCTGAGGCGCCCCGATTATGTTTCAGATTTGTAGGCACAATGCCCGTATTCGTGGGCTTCACCAAACTGGTAAACGTCCGAGACCTGCATCACTTCATCACAATCTGTGAAAATAACTGTTATACCGTTCAAGGCGGCGTTGACCCTTACTCACTCGCTCGCGGAGTAACAACGTTTCAACAGCTTAAACCAGGATCCATTCATTTTTTCCTGCATCCTGATTGCTTTTTTATAAGGTGGAAGAGACAATGATTCCACGAGCTCGGGCATGGTGCTGACATGCCTCAACGGAAACTCGGGGAGACCTGCGCTACAGAGGACTTGGCCACCCACGCCCCCTTGGAAGACTTGATAGAGTTTAAGAAGATGGTAAAATAACATGAGAACACTAGTGTAGTAGACTCTTTATAAATACAAAGAGAAATTGTCTTTACAAATTTACACTCCTATTATGGGTAAGATGGGATATTTCAAAGCTGATGTTTTAGGATCAGTAGTGCGTAATACTGTCAAGATATTTTAAACATTCATTCATTCAGTCATACTGCGTATGAGTCATTCAGTCATACTGCGTATGAGTCTCCCACTAAGGATTTGAGGGAGTCTGTCCTACTCCTCTTGCCATGCCTGGCCAAGTTCAGGAAACGTCAGATAATGTCTAAAGAACAAGAAACTTACGTTACCTGTAGCGTATATGGCTGTCGATTTGTTTTTCTGTCTAGATTCGTAATTCAAAGCAGTGTAAATTCTTCCGAAGTAAACAACTGGGGAAAAAATGGCAATATACGCGTAATTTATTCATATGACGTATGAACTTTGCTACTAGCCAAGTTCAAGGCTGTTGGAATTTTCCACATGAAAGCGTAAAAGACACCGCTGTCAGTGAGGTCGGAATGGACCCGGAACCGAGAGAGAGGATGAGCGCGCCGCCTAGCGGCGATGGTGGCTGCTAGTGTAAGTTTCCCTAAGACCGAGAACGGGTGTTTGATTGTAAAGATGTGTAACTTTCCCTAAGACCGAAAACGGGTGTTGGATCGTGAAGAGAGAGTCACCAGAGCGTGAGGCACGGTAACGGTATAACGAGACAGCGGTGGCACTATAGCGCGGTAATTGAGCGGATGGTAGAGCTCGGGCTGCGCCCGGTAAACTGCATTGTTGCCAACGTTTTTGGTGGCATATGATACAATACGTTTCAACTGTTTACTGTACATATTAGTTTGACAAGAGTAAGATCGCCAAACGTGTGTCACGTCAGCAGGTGAAAGTCTTACCTGGCCAGGTGAGGTGAGTCAGCATCACCAGGTCTGTGTGTCATATCCCAAGCTCCTCACCGCGATAGCCCTTTCGCTCTCTATATAGGGCCCGCAAGTCTGGCGAAGCCCTACTTCCGGTGCCAGCATTTCCGGTGACATGCCTATACTCGCGACCGCCAAAGCTCACTCTGTAGACGGTACCAAGTAAACTACCACGCTTGGTTGTCACCGCTGTTGACAGTCGTAAAGGTTTACTTATTTCAGAATAACATGATCGGTTATTTGTAATTACTGTCAGGTTTATCGGTTCCTGACTGACAACTGACAACCATGGGACCGAAGGTAAGTGTTCTTTTCTCTACCTTTAAAATAATTTTGACAACCAGTGGTACTATCGTTCAGACGTGTATTTATGGCTCAGTGGACAGTGTTTTATGATTACGGAGGATGTTTCACATGCTTCTGTGATGTAATATTATTTATGAAGATGTAACTACTAATAGGTAGGCCATTTTACACAACTTACCATGGTATTCTGGTATCTGACAGCACGAGCAGTGTCATGGAAGCCGTGCCTTTGACAGGTTGAATAGGCATTAAATTAGGCAAGATTTGGAGGGTGAAATTTGGAAAATCTATGATATGAATATATTTTTAAACGTGAAATTCATTTTAGTATATTGTATTTATTTATGTTTTTAGTAATTATAGTACTTAATAACCCAGTCATTAGTTTGGAACTTAAAATTTAATATGCTCTATATTTGGTCATATTTACCATGTTTACTCTGTCACACACCTTTAATTAAGTACATAATATTCCATTAAGAAATTTGTTAGTTTTGAGAAGAAACTTACTTATAAAATTAAATGTGAATAGATATAATAATGCAGATGTACTATTTCTTGCACTTTGGTAGTTTGCACCATAAGATTACTCTCACCTACATGTACTGAATGACTGTATGGAAGTGCGGATGTCAGAAATCAATAAGAAAGATTCAAAAGATCCCCCCCCCCCCCTAAAAAAAGAATAAAAATAATAATAAAAAAATGTTTTTGCGAAATAATTAAAAAATGAGAGAAAATGAATGATTTCCTCTACTTTGGATGAATGACAGTCACAGACAGATAGATAGATTGCCAGATAGATTTTCTTAGCCCTGCCTGTAAATATATTGATCCCAAAAATAATTATCCAAATTGAATAAAATAAAGGTCTTCTCATCAACATGCACCAAAAAAGAATATATGGGAGAATAAACATAATAACTAATAGTGCCACAAATCACTCAACAGTTAATCAAAAAACCATGAAGGCAAGTCAATACATTATATTGATTACCATAATCTAGTATTTGAAATAAATATATCAAACCCTAGCCTGTAAAACACACATACCCCTTTATTTCGAAATACATTTGTATATGCATTAGCATAGTTATATTAAAAGTATGTAAGTCAAATTGTTTTATTTTCCTCGCATATTTTAATGAAAGACCTCTTAGTCTCAGGTGGTTTCAGGTTTGTCCAACAAGTAACTGCTGTTAGTATTCGATATGAATATTCACAGTGATATACTTAAATTATTTATCAAATTGTGTAAACATTATTTGTTAAGTCAAGTGATGAATAGAACTGGTGTTGGACAATGGTAATCTTACACTGTGAATGTACTTGATGTCTAGTTCTATGTTGTTGCAGAACATGAATGGGGTTTTTCGTGGTCATACAGGAGTGAATTTCTGCTGTACAGCAACCAAAAGATGAAGCAGCATCCAGCATGCAGCAACTTCAAGTCAGAAGTGGCCAAAATGCAAGACAAATACACTGAATTATGGTGGCGATCACCAATGACATGTCCTACATTAAGAAAGATACTTACTAATAAATGAAGTGTAATGTTATTCTGAGCGAAGAAATAAAAGTGTTACACCTCGTCAGCAATATAATTGTTATAACACTGCAGACTGTGATTGATAGCAGGGTCAAGATTAAAAGATGAATTTTGATGAACGGTAGAGTTTTTTAAATTAATAGTTCTGGTTGTGAGGCTCAATTAAAACAAGTAAAAATAATTGCCACAAGTCCAAAACATTAATAGATTCAACTTATCACTCAGTCAACACTGATGAACACAATTTAGTGCATCCATATTGACTTGAGGCAGAGATAGAAACAATTGCACCTATTTTTCATATTTTTGTGTATTTCAAATATTCTGCCAATAAATAAATAAAGTCAAATAAATGAGGTAACTGTTATTTCACATGTTCCGCTATCCATTTGGACCAATCTGTTTTAAGATTACTGGTCAAGAAATGTTAATGTTTATTGGCTATTGTTTTATGAATCACTGTAATTTGTATGCTGGACCCTAAAACAGCGATGCAAAAACAAGACATGTTGATATTTCAACAAAGAATTCATTTCAAAAAGCAACAACTGCTATGCCATTGGTTAAGTTAAATTTTCATTGGTAAGCATCTGTTGTATTTTCTTGGAAAATTTTGACCCATAAACTGGAAATTCATTATCACACATTCCATGTGCATTGTTATGATATTATATTCAATATCAATCCAGTATCATGGCTGATACCAGAAATATTTTAAAAACTTCTTTTGTATGGCATTATCTCAGACAAAAAACAATAAATAAGTTTCAGATCTATTCAGTAATTTTATTCAAAGGTCATGAGTATTAAACATTCATGGCAAATATTCCCAAATGCCAAGCCTGAACAAATAAATGTGCCAGCATGCACTATTACTGGTGTCAGTATCTAGATTCACACTGCACGTTATGAGAGAGTCCCAAGATGTTCTGCAACACCATGTTGATGACAAGTAGGTCCTGTTCCAGCAAGTGTCCAGTGTATATGGTGTATTCTAATGGTCACAGACATCATTTACAGAGCCAATACTTCAGCAAAACGTTCAGATAGAACTTTAATATGTTTACACCTGCTTACACAACAAGAGTTGTTCTTTCATAGGCAATGTAATGCTTGACCACAAAATATTCCCAGAAATCTGAAGATATGTTATAGTCCGAGATGCTCTTGAGGTGCAGTTATGCTTGCCATCAAGGTAATTCTGGTGATCCATATGCATCTACTCGTGAGTAAGATGAGGAAATCTTTCCCCCCTCAAACAAGGAAATATGGTCCAACTGCAAAAGATAAATAACACTTATGAGATCATATAATATATACTTCTAAAATACCAACCATTTCTTACATTGCCTACATCAAGATATAATTAATAAATTAAGCATGTACATTGTAACTTCAACTGAATATGATAAACAAATGCTAAATGGGGTTGTAATGATCAAGTCTATTCACATCATACAGAATACATTTAAGTGAGGTCACTTTTTAGAGATCTTAAAAACAAACACTGCAAGGATTTAATCATCATTATTTACAAATTAGATTAATATTTTTTTGTTTGAATCAAACCTGATTTTTCAGTGCACATAACACTATCATCGTGATATTGGCACATATCCTTATTTTTTAACACAGGCACCCCCATAAATCTCCTTGCACAACATTAAGTATTGACAAAATTTGCGTTGCCAACATGCACATGATAGGCCTTCTTTAAATATGACTATAGTTTGTGTCATCTCCCCTGGACCTACATGTACAAATATAATTCTGTGACGTTCCATATCAGAGCTGAACATTTATTATTGGAAAAGGCTCAGGATAGATGTAATGAAAATTTGCCATAACATTGTATGGTGCATAAACCGAGAGCATATTGCAAATACCTTCAGAACGTATGTTATATGTTCGCTTTTCAACGCCATCACCATTGTACGGGTGATGATGAACCGATCAGTATTGACTTATCAACACAATAACAATTATACCAACTTGTCAGAAGTGTGCAAAAAGTGAAAACTTACCTCAATATTTATGAATGGGAAGCGGCCAGTTTGACATCGACCATAGTACGTCTTGACAACACTGCAACTGCTTTGACAAGCCAACACTTGCTATTCATGTTCCCCATCTCAAGTGTTTTAATGCCTGTGACAGTGTCATGGTTTTCTTAGTTACACCTGCGAGTTCCAAATATGATTCGCTGGGCCCTGTCCGACGTGACACTGCTGTCGCCATTGCAGCGGGACGTTGTTTGTCACCGGAAGTACTAAATAACGTTAGGTCTCGCGTAGTCCCGTGACCTACTTACACCCCCTATTATCGCTGCAACCAGTCAAACCTCTGTGATAGGTGATAACAGCCATGCTTAGGGTTGAACTCGCAACCGACTGTTTTCAAACAAGTGATGACTACCGTGACGCCGAATTCTCTTACCCCTGCTAAATTGTTTTCTTTGTTTATAAATTTGAATTTCTATTTCATTTTAATTATCATATAATTAGTATAGTAAGAATCCAACAGATACACCAGGGCAGTTTACACACGCGGCTCCTTATGGACCTACACATCACACATCCCCCATTTTGACAATCATACTTTGCATGTGAAATAAGCATTAAGACAGACCCCAGCGTCACGTGCATCGTCGGATTCCAGAAATGAGGAGGCGTCTGGCGGCAGTCGTTCGCGTGCAGGGTGATTTTACCAAGTCTTGCATCTGCATTGACTTATCATGCCGTCAACCAGTTGGAAGCAGTTCAGTATTTATTGTGCGACAATAGTAATTTCCAAACAAGTCAGAGTAAATGTCACTGTTATCCCTGAATCATTTTTGCACATGGACGTACGCAAATTGAATCATTCATTCATTCATTCATTAGTGAGAGTTACGTCTGTGTGTCTGTCAGTGTCTGTCTGTCTGTCAACACCATACCAGTACTTGTGGATTGTCATCATCATCTCCGTACTCGTGGGTTGTCATCATCATCCCCGTACTCGTGGGTTTTCATCATCATTTTCCATGCATTATACAGGAATTACCAATGTACTATCTAGGCATTATACAAGTATTACCAATGTATTATCTAGGCATTATACTCGTATTACCAATGTATTATCTAGGCATTAGTTATGTATTACCTATGGCTCATCAGACATATTATTACCAATACTTTTTACTTTAGA